AGTAAAAATATAAAGAGAAAAAGAAGGAAAACCTTTCATTAAGGAAAGGCCTTTGTTTTCCTTTCCTTGGAAGAAGAGAGATGCTTATTTCCCATTTTTAAGCGATGAAGTTAGAAATTGACCTAGGGTTGACTTTCATCTTTTGTTATGCTGGACAAACTCAAAAAGACCAACATCCACTTGTTCCTAAATGGCGAATTTTTCAATTAAAGCTGAAAGAGTTACCATGCAGGACAAATGAAAAGAACTCACAGTTCGCTGGGTCCACTGGATATTTCATCTCTGTTTTTCTCATTTGTCACATGCTCCTTGAATGTGGGAGGGGCTGTGTAGCTCAGCCTGTCTCTTGGCTCTGAAAGTTGAGAGAGATGATGCAGACTGGCAACAGATTTCTCTAGAACACCAGTTGCTAGAACTGGAACACCAAGTGTTGGAAGTAGGGAGCCTTGAGACTGGGGGAAATCTTTATATGACCACTGATCCTATGCAGTCTTTACCCTTGCATAGATATGCGACTACAGAATTTTAAGTCAACGGGACTACAGACTCTCAAGTAAGTGAGTATAAATATAGAGAAGGTACAAGTTTGTCCAGGGCAGGAACTGTATGTCTAACTCTAATGCATCTTTCAATCTAATGCCTGGTATATAATTGATGGCACTCAGTAATGCTGAAGTTAAACTTAAGTGAAATTTAGACTTTAGCTTTTCTACTTTTAGCTGTTTTTGCAAAGATTTGGTTGGCTCAAATAGGGAGCTTGAAAATAGAGGAGCATACTAAACAAAACTTAACATTGTACCCCCCAGGGTAAAGAAATTCCATTCCCATGGAGCTAAATCAGGGCTGAGTCACTAGGTGAAGGAAATTTACACACAAAATTTTACTTAATTCAATGTTGGGTTTCATAGCACCCAGAGACTCTTGGCCACTTGGAATACAGGAAGAGAAATTGCAGCTCCTGACTCACTGCTGAGTTCTAGGCCTGGACTTCAGGAATGGATGGGCTTTAGGAATCTCTGAACTCATGCAATTGTATGCAAAGTTTTGTCTGTGTGCTGTGCCTTTTCCTTGGGAGGAGGCCTCACTTTGGTTATGGTTTCAAAGAAATCCACTTCCCCCAAAAGGCTAAGAACCCAGGTTTAGGCTGAGAGTCCCAGAGTGACCTATCTTAAGATCATTGCAGCTTACATCTGAGCAGCACATCAATGTTCTCTCTATGAATGTCTTCTAGGCTCGCTGCAGAACTGGACCAACACATTTCCACTTGTCTTGTCTGATTTTGCTATCACCAGTATTTCTGGGTGAACTGAGAATTTTGAACCCCACATCCCATTCAGGGGAAAGAAAATAAAAATAAAACAAAAACAAACAAGAAAAACCTTTTAGGGAGGTAGAAAGGAATGAGAACAAAAGAACAAAATGTGGTGGTGGGCGGAATAAAGCAATGAGGAGGAAGATGCGGCTGGCAACTCGGCCTTTCCCTGGTGTTCCAGGCCTGTGGCACGGCCCTGCGCCTCACCCCTCCTGGGTTTCTCTGGCACTTGAGCGCCCGCGCTGTGGACCTGTCTTTGTCCCACATGGACCCGAGGCTGCGTGCGGTGGGAAACCGGGGCGCCGTGGCGCTGGAACTGCTGTTGCCGCCCCAGCATCAGGGGGCGCTGGTGCTTAGGGGGATGCTGCCGCCGCCCCGCGTCCCGCCTCGGCCTTGCCGGCTCTGAGAATTGCTCTGGGGTGGCCGCCTCTGCCCTCAGGTCCCGGCCGGCAACTGTCAACCGCAGCAAGGCTGTCCTCATCCTATGGGTAAAAATCGAGTGGGTGGCATGTGACTTCTTCTGTGACAGCTATTTCTACAGTTTATTTGGTAGCAAATAATCTGAATTGATCTGTGATATTAATTTTTTTTTGTTATTCCTCACTCGAGGATATTTTTCCATTGATTTTCAGAGAGAGTGGAAGAGAGAGGGAAAGACAGAGAGAAACACCGATGTGAGAGAAACACATCGATTGCCTCCTACACAAGCCTTGACCAGGGCCTGGGCCAGGCAGGAGCCTGCCACAGTATATGCCCTTGGCCGGAATAGAACCCAGGACCTTTTGGTCCATAGGCTGAAGCTCTATCCATTGAGCAAAACAGGCTAGGGGAATCTGTGATATAAATTTATCTACTGTAGTCCATTATTTACACTTAAATTTTTTATTTTCTGAAAAATATATATATTTTTGCCTGGCCAGCGTGGCTCAGTGGTTGAGCTTCGACCTATGAACTAGGAGGTCATGGTTCAATTCCTGGTCAAGGCACATGCCTGTGTGGAGCATGCAGGAGGCAGCCAATCAATGATTCCCTCTCATCATTGATATTTCTATCTCTCTCTCGCCCTTCCTCTCTGAAATCAATAAAAATATATTTAGAAAATATTTTCAGTCCCCAAAACACTGTAACATTTTGAGGGCAGGGACATAGTGGTTCCATCTTTGTCCATTCTGTTGCAGTGATCACACACTGATCTTAACAAAAATGTTTGAACATTCCTCAATATACTTGTGTGTATATTTATTTTTAAACTAGAGGCCCCGGTGCATGAAATTTGTGCACTGGGGGGGGGGTCCCTCAGCCTGCCTGCGCCCTTTCACAGTCAGGGAGCCCTCAGGGGATGTCCAACTGATGGCTTAGGGAGCGGGCCTAAGCCATCAGTCGGACATTTTTAGCTCTGCCACAGCAGCAGGAGAGGCTCCCGCCACAGCTGCTGTGCTCGCCAGCTGTGAGTCTGGCTTCTGGCTGAGCAGCACTCCCCCTGCATTGAGCGTCTGCCCCCTAGTGGTCAGTGCAGGTCATAGTGACCAGTCATTCTGCCGTTTGGTCTATTTGCATATTAGCCTTTTATAATATAGGATTATATACATTTACTTCTGTACTAATACATAATGGTCATTATAAAACATAAACAAAAATACTAATTTCTAAAGGGGAGATGATTAAACATAAGTAAAATTTTAATATTTACTTCCCTCATCCCAATTGTCTGCACACCCCTGTGTATGTGTCCAACTTTAAGGATTAGCCTTCTATAGCCCCTAGTATACACCAAGCCTTATATGTGGATAGTCAATCACTATTTATTGTCTAGACCTAAAATCATGCTTTTTATTGTTACTATCAGAACATGCCAGTTCTGACATTTACTATGTGGCCTTGGGCATGTCATTAACCTTTTGTGCTCAGTTTCCTTATCTACGAATAGAGACAAAACTGTACCTGCCACATTAGGTTGTTATGAGGATTAAATAAGCTAATATATGTAAAGTGCTTAGGACAGTGATGGAGTATTGTAACCACTGTATGAGTTAGCTATTATTACTTATGTTTATATCCAGATAAAGAAATCAAGGCATAAAATACCTAGGTAACTTGCTCAAAGCCAGGGATAGAATCCAATTTAGCCACTTAATATCTATAATCCCAAGTACTTTTTGGTTACCAACCAAGAAGCAAGATTTTTTGACCAATGCAACTTTCTGATGTCAGGTTCTTGATTCTTTATAATATAAAAGACTCTCTAGCTCTGAAGAGCACTGGCTTATAGAGGAAACTCGCAATCCTGTAGATTCTACTAGTAAATGAAGCTCCGAACTACTCTTGGGCATTATCAATGAGAAAGCAAAAAACTGCTCCTGACATTGGGGAGTTGGTCTGACGTAGCTAATTCTCAGTGTTGTTTGAAGCTGGCCTGGTGCTCACAGCTAGGCCATGTTATTGTCCTGTTGGACATAATCTCACAGAATACAAATATCAGACCAGGCCATTTGAGACCACTGCTATAATCTTGTCTAAGCACAGACAAAAAGCAAGGTCACTGTGCCACCACAAAATACCAAACATCCTTGTCTCCTGGCTAATATGAGTGACTGCTACTTCTTTACCTATTACAGATACAGCCTCACTGTAGTCTAGCTCCCTGGAGATAAGTTTTTTGAGATATCCAAACATAGCATTGTCCTTGCTTTCTGACAGCACCAAATCTGGAGCAAACTGTTATCTTGGACCCTCCCCCAACTCACCTCACTGAAGATCAAATCCTATAATAGGTTCTTTCTAACACTTTCTACTGAGATGCCCTTAGTTCCCCATGGTGTGCATTTTCTGTAGCTGTAATGAGTAATAAACCCTACCTGCTCAACTATATATGTGTTCCTGTTGGTCTTTGACACCAATATCTTCAAACTATGTCCTAGAGATAATTCAGGAACTTTGAGAGCACCCATTTTTCCCATCTGTTTATCTACCCATACCCTATCTCAGATTCCTCTCCAGGTCCCCACCCAAGAGATGCACTTTTGAAAGCCAATACTCTAAGGGCACTGTATTTAGATTTTTGAGTTAAGAGCTCTCAGCTCTGCCACTCACTAGCTGTGACTTTGGGCAATTAACCTCTTGGTTAGTTAATATATATATAAAGTGACTGCAACATACCTTCATACAGTAAATGATCAATATGATTTTTTGTTTCATTTTCTAAATTAACAAACAAACACACCCTTTCTTACTTGCCCTTTGTCCCCCTGAGATTTTGGGCATTCGCCCTGTTCCTATTCCCTCTGAGGTGACCAGGGCAGGAATCTGTCCAGGCTCTTGCTCTGTGAGCTGAAATAGCTCTTGATGATACTTTGTGGCCTATGGCCACAGTCTATTGATGTGTTTGACAAGAAAACCGAATAAAGTAATATTGCCTCCAAATATTGTTTTTGGAGTTAACCATTTTTGACATTTGAATTATTTTCTGGTATAAACAACTCAGGAAAATGTATTCTTTTTGGTTTAGTGTCACGCAGGCCTGGTGTAGATAAAGCTTTTAAAGACTTAAGGAGAACTCTAGGTACCTTTTGATCTCATCCTGTTGCTTCCAAGAAAGCTTCTTTAGCAACATGTGTTCTTCACGAAGACGAAACAAACTGTCCTCCATTTCTTCCTGGCTCATTTTGCTCAAAGTTGGTTGAATTTTAATATTCTTACCTAAAGTCCCAGGAGAGGGTAAATGGAGATTATTTTTACATGTCATTTACAAAACCCATCAGGTCTTTCATCACATTTTGTCCAGAGGGCTTAAATCTATCTTAGGTCAAGTATTTAAGAGGAAATGAAGAAGTTTATGAAATGCATACTAATGGATCTCTTTATTATTCCATATCACTCCTGAATAAGGAATATCATTCCATATCATTCGAGCATGAGATATGACTCAACTTTCTGTCTAGAAAGTACATAATCTTAAAAAATATCAAATAGGGCTGTTAGACTACTTAATTTTTTATTTTTTATTCTATTTTTCTCCTTATTAGATAATTTGGACCTAGACAAGGATTGTGCCCACAGCCATCTTTAAATCTCCCATAAGGGAAAGGATAGAAACCTTTCTTAATTTCCAAGAGTCATCTCATTTGTTTTTGTGGTCTGGAGAAACTGCCCCAAAACTGCCTCCTTGGAACAGAGCCTCTGCTTGGTCTAATCAAGGAAATTAGAGCATACTTTTCTTTCTTTCTTTCTTTCTTTCTTTCTTTCTTTCTTTCTTTCTTTCTTTCTTCTTTAAAAATATACTTTATTGATTTTTTTACAGAGAGGAAGGGAGAAGGATAGAGAGTTAGAAACATCGATGAGAGAGAAACATCAATCAACTGCCTCCTCCACACCCCCAACTGGGGATGTGCCCACAACCAAGGTACATGCCCTTGACCGGGATCGAACCAGGGACCCTTCAGTCCGCAGGCTGATGCTCTATCCACTGAGGCAAACTGGTTAGGGCTCTTTTTTTTTTTTTAAAGGAGCTGGAAGCCCTTTTATTTTCTGTTTAAAATCCAAGTTTGTTTGTTTGTTTGTTTTCAGGAGCTGGAACCCCTTTTATTTTCTGTTTAAAATCCAACAGTTTTTTGTTTGTTTGTTTTTTAAGGAGCTGGAGAGCATACTTTTCAGTGTGTGAGTGTTCACTGGCCCAGGGTTGGCCCTGATTTTATGGGAATTATTCTAAAACCACAGAGCTCAAAATACAGCTCCTTCCCTGGAATAAAGAGAGCTCAGAACTTTAGTCTCAGAACCACCTTAGCCACCACTATCATCACCTCTCTGATCTATCCTTTGGAAATGATGACAAGTACATCGGGAGAGAAAGATAGAAACATCAATAATGAGAGAGAATCATCAATCGGCTGCCTCCTGCATACCCCCAGCTGGAGATCCAGCCCAAAACCCAAGCATGTGCCATGACTGGGAATCGAACTATGACCTCCTGGTTCATGGGTCGATGCTCAACTATTAGCTACACCAGCTGGGTGACAATGCTTCTCTCTCTCATTCTCTCTCTCTCTCTTTTCCCCCACCTCCTCCTGCCTCTCTAAAATCAATACAAAATATATCCCCAGATGAAGATTAAAATAAATAAATAATAAATAAAAAGCATCCATCCTCAGACATTGTATTTACCTTTCGATGCTGGTATCATTGGAGGTATCAAATCTATGACCCTAACAGGTTCTTTAATGTATTTTTCACCAGGAGGTGTGATGTCATATCAGTTCTCAAGCTGTAAGTGATCCCAGAGGACACTGAAATTGAAAAACAAAAGTCCAGCAAATTACATGCCCTCTGTAGGCTGCACTTAAGTTGTAGCAGGAATTTCTCAACACTCTCATGATAGTATATCACACATCATAGCTTGCTTTTTTAAAAAAATATATTTTTTTATTGATTTTTTACAGAGAGGAAGGGAGAGGGATAGGGAGTTAGAAACATCGATGAGAGAGAGATATCGATCAGCTGCCTCCCGCACACACCCCACTGGGGACGTGCCGGCAACCAAGGTACGTGCCCTTGACTGGAATCGAAATGCCGGCAACCAAGGTACGTGCCCTTGTCTGGAATCGAACCCAGGACCCTTCAGTCCGCAGTCCGACGCTCTATCCACCGAGCCAAACCAGTTAGGGCATCATAGCCTTTAAAAAAAATATATATTTTCATTGGTTTCAGAGAGGAAGGGAGAGGGAGAGATAGAAATATCAATGATGATGAGAGAGGATCACTGATTGGCTGTCTCCCACAAGCCCCCTACTGGAGATGAAGTCCACAACCTGGGCTTGTGCCCCTGACCAGAATCGAACCTGGGACCCTTCAATCTGCAGGCCAAGGCTCTATCCACTGTGGGAAACCGCCTATTGTCTTCACTAGCAGAGAGGTATGGACAAGGAACCCAGAAGGCTGATGATCCTTGAAGCCCTTGCAAAGGTCAGGGCTGTGCACTCATTGTTAGTCCAGACCAGCCGTGGGCAAACTACGGCCCGTGGGCTGGATCCGGCCCGTTTGAAATGAATAAAACTAAAAAAAAAAAAAAAAAAACCCGCGGCCGGATCCGGCCCGTTTGAAATGAATAAAACTAAAAAAAAAAAAGACCGTACCCTTTTATGTAATGATGTTTACTTTGAATTTATATTAGTTCACACAAACACTCCATCCATGCTTTTGTTCCAGCCCTCCGGTCCAGTTTAAGAACCCATGTGGCCCTCGAGTCAAATGCCCACCCCAGGTCCAGACAATGGTAGCTGAAGCAACTTCCCCATTTATTATTATGTAAATCCTTGCTGATGGGCTGGTCTGCCCGTTACTGGAAATTGCCTGCCTAAGGGCTATGGGTGTATCCCAGACCAATAAAAGGTTGGCGCGCCCTGAGCACCAGTGGAAGTCCTTCCTCTTGAGTTGGACTTACCCGACTGGCCCCCCAATATTTCCAAATTATCTCTTGTCTCTTCTTTCATTTATGTGCCGCTCCTCTTCCAGATCCTGAACCCTGAACCACGCGGGACGTGGAGGGAAACATTTACAACAATCCACTGAGCCAAACTGGCTAGGGCCTTCATAGCTTTTTAAAAATATATATTTGTATTGATTTCAGAGTGGAAGAGAGAAATAGAAACATCAACAATGAGAGAGAATCTGACTGGCTGCCTCTTGCATGCCCCCTAACTGGGAATTGAGCCCTCAACCCAGGCATGTGCCCTTGACTGGAATTGAACCTGGGACCATTCAGTCCACAGGCTGACACTTTATCCACTGAGCCAAACTGGCTAGGGCAACATTAACATTTTATTGATCTACTTTCCAGACAATTTAACTTGATTGTGTCATTCACATTCTGTTCTGCAATGTTTCATTTTTTAAAACCACAGTAAGCGGAGAACCTCTTTCCAGTGACATAATGTTAAATGGATCTATACCGATTTCATAGCATGCTTATTTCAAGAAAGCTGAACAATAACCCAAAAGTTGATGTACTTTCACATGTTAGACAACAATCCTAGGATTAAAACAGAATTGAAGCAACCAAAGAAACCATTTTGTTTTAAAGGATATCCCACATTTAAGATTGCTTTTGCGGTTATGCCAAGGTACCCTGTCTTCCCAGCCTCCTTCTGTAGAGAAGTAACATGGAAGAGAACAGAGAGGTAACTGCATCACAGGCCTGGCCCTCTGGAGCAAAAGCCATTTGCAAAAATGGAGCTGTAGTGGAAGAAGAGATGCTGTACTTCTTTAATGTCTGGGCCTAGAGAAGATGGCTTTGTTAATGACCCTTTAAAAATACACCACCAAAGCTCTATACTGCTGTGGAGCAACTGAACAGTAGCACTAACACTGAAATCAAAGAAGCTCTAAAAATGAAATGGAGGTTATAAGAATGTCAGGAAAAAAAAAAATCCAGGAGAGACTGTCAGTGAAGGTGTGATGAAGAAACATCCTAAATCCAATGAAGTGGCCAGATTTAATCTCTCAGGAAAAAAGGAGTGGAGAGAAAATATAAGGACGGAGAATTTATCAATCATTTAAACTCAGTGGAATGAAAGACTAAAAGAATTCCCTTGCAGCCCTGGACAGATAGCATAGTTGGTTAGAGTGTTATCCCCATACATCAGAGTTTTGGGTTCAATCCCCAGTTAGGACACATGTACAAGAATCAACCAATGAATGCATCAGTAAGTGGAACAACAAATCGATGTTTCTCTCTCTTTCAAATTAATTTTTTAAAAAAGAATTCTGCCCTAACCGGTTTGGCTCAGTGGACAGAGTATCGGCCTGCGGACTCAAGGGTCCCAGGTTCGATTCTGGTCAGGGGCATGTGCCTTGGTTGCGGGCACATCCCCAGTGGGGAGTGTGCAGGAGGCAGCTGATGGATGTTTCTCTCTCATTGATGTTTCTGACTCTCTATCCCTCTCCCTTCCTCTCTGTAAAAAATCAATAAAATATATATTAAAAAAAAGAAAAAAGAAAAAGAATTCCCACCTGGCCAGCGTGGCTCAGTGGTTGAGCATCAACCTATGAACCAGGGAGGTCATGGTATATATATATATATCTCCTAGCTAATAAAATACAAAGATGCTAATTGACCATAACTTTGCTATGACCATCAGCCAATCAGAGTGATATGCAAATTAACTGGCAAAAAGATGGCGGCTAATTTGCATACTGCAGGCAGGGCAGGCCACCAGGGCCCCGTGTGCGGCCCTGGGCAGTGCGCCACCTAAGCCCCGCCGCCAGCCGGGACCCAGTGGCGATCCGTGAGCAGGAAAGTGCAGCCCACAGGCAGCACCCAGGAAGGCCTGCTCCTGGGTCCCTGTGGCGATCCCAGAGTAGGAAAGTGCAGCCTGCAGGCAGCACCCAGGAGGGCCTGCCCCCCAGTCGGGCCTGCCCCAGGGTCTCCGCGGTGATCCGTGAGCAGGAAAGTGCAGCCCACGGGCAGCACCCAGGAAGGCCTGCTCCTGGGTTGCCCTGGTGATCCGTGAGCAGGAAAGTGCGGCCCCCAGGCAGCACCCAGGAGGGCCTGCCTCAGGGTCTCCGCGGTGATCCGTGAGCAGGAAAGCACGGCCTGCAGGCAGCACTCCACCCTGGCCACAGCTCAGGGGAGAGAACAACATGCAGTAGAGGCCAGGAGCCTGAGAGATCAACACAGAGGGGTGCTGCTCCATGCCTCCACGGTTTGGCTGGGGGCAGGCCCCCAGCAGAGACACACACACACACACACACACACACACACACACACGGGGCGACTGCTCTGAGCCTCCTACCTGGCTGGGGGCAGGCCCCCAACGGGGACACACACACACACACACGACACCTGCTTTGAGCCTCTGCTGCCAGACTGTGCCCATCAGTAGGACATTCAATGACGGCTCCCGGACTGTGAGAGGGGCAGGCTGGGCTGAGGGAACCCCACCCCCCAGGGCACGAATTAGGGAACCCCATCCCCCAGTGCACGAATTTCCTGCACCAGGCCTTTAGTAATAAATATTTTATTTATTTATTTCAGGGAGGAAGGGAGAGGGAGAGAGACAGAAACATAAATGCTGAGAGAGAATTATTGATCAGCTGCCTCCTGCACACCCCACACTGGGGACCAAGCCTGCAAGATGGGCATGTGCTGTGACCAGGAATCAAGCAGTGATAGGTCGATGCTCAACCACTGAGCCACACTGGCTGGGCAAGTTTATAAGCTCTTTTGAGAATATCTTTGTATGTATATTGCCTAACACAGTACCTGGTATCTGTAGACATATAATAATTTTTCAGCAGATGTAGTATTGCAACATTGGATTGTGACAGTAATTGTTTTTCTTTTTACAATTGGTTTTAATGATTTTTACAAAGTTTTGTATTAATCCCCTCACCCCCTGAGAACACAGTGAGATGAGAGCCATAATGGTATCACAGATCTGAGTAGAAGAGAGAAGGAGGAAAAAAAATTCAAAAAGCAGGTGACAAATATGCTTAAAGGAATGTCAGTAGCATTTTTTTAAAAATATATTTTTATTGATTTCAGAGAGGAAAGGAGAGGGAGAGATAGAAACATCAATGATGAGAAAGAATCATTGATCGGCTGCCTCCTGCACGCCCCCTACTGGTGATCGAGCCTGCAACCCAGGCATGTGCCCTTGATTGCAGTCTGCAGGCCAATGCTCTATCCACTGAGCCAAACCAGCTAGGGCAGTAGCATTTTAGTAGGGAAATAATGCTACAAAAATATTCCTATTCTTTAAAAATTCAAGGGACGAGTAGGCCTGTGTGGCAATATATAGAAGCAGGGTTTTAACATTTCATTTTAATATGGATTAGAGATTTAAGATTTCCTGTATAAGGAATTAACTTTAACAGTTCCAATAAATATTCAAGTCTCTGAAAGGGGAACTGCAGTTGAGTTGAAGGTTTGGGGAAGGGGTCCTCACACTTTTTAAACAGGGGGCCAGTTCACTGTCCCTCAGACCGTTGGAGGGCCAGACTATAGTTTTAAAAAAAACTATGAACAAATTCCTATGCACACTGCACATATCTTATTTTGAAGTAAAAAAACAAAACAGGAACAAATACAATATTTGTATTTGCATGTGGCCCGCGGGCCGTAGTTTGAGGACCCCTGGTTTGGGGGGAGAAGGTAACAAATTATGAAGAGATCCTTGAAGAGAATAGTTTTCCAGTGAGTTAGGGAACCCAGGAGCAGCTGATCTTATGTAAGAGGACAGAGGCAAATGAGATGTAAGCACTGAGAAAGATACTTGGAACAGAGCCGAAGAAAGACTGTGGAGAAAAGTGTAGTCTCCGTAACTGGATTGTATGAATGCTCATAAAGGATGGTAGAAACTCCTGGAATTTGCATTGAACTTAATCTGACAAATATTACTGTGTGTCCATTTTGTTCAATTGCTACTAAAAGAAAAATAGAGCCCTTGCTCTCAGGAAGTGAATAATTAAGAGGAAAAATGAGCCCTGGCCAGTTTTCTCAGTGGTTAGAGCATTGGCCTGTAGACTGAAGAGTCACGGGTTTGATTCCTGGTCAGGAGCATGTACCTTGGTTGCAGGTTCCCCAGCCCCAATAGGGGTGTGTGTGAGAGAGGCAACCAATGATGTGTGTCTCTCTCCTTTCCACTGCCTCTAGAAATCAATGGAAAAAAATATCCTCAGGTGAGGATTAAAAAGAAAGGGGGTTGGGGGGAGAATGAGAGAAGCACATGTTTAACTGTGAGGTAAAATATATAAAGTCAATCAATCAAAGAAAAACAAAACAAAGTGAGAGAGGAAAGGAACACTGAGGCTCACATTCACTTGAAGGATCAGATAAAGCATTATGGAGGGAGGGTTGTTGGAGTCTAGGAGGGATTTTGGCAGGTTCCATACAGAGGACAGTTTGAATAGAGTCAGGGATGGGCAAAGAGCAGAGTGGTCTTGCACAATAGCAGGTAGCCATGACGAGTTTAAGAAAAGAGTTGTGAGAATTAAAGTGCATATTTTGGAAGACCTTGCCTTTAAAATAGAGGTGTTCTATTCATTCTGTCAAAATGGCCAGCAATTTATGTATTTTGAGCAAAAGAGCATTAAAGTTAGAGCAGCAAAAGAGCTGTAGGAAGACTCATCTGCTGTTAATTAGAAAGACTGGCAAAGAGGAGGAGTGTTAAGAGGATAGATATTGCCATGGTTCCAGCAAGAAGCTTTGAAATGGGAGGGGTATTAGGGGAGGGGTGGCAGAGTGGGATGAATCACAAAGACCCCGAGGAAGGAGAATCAAGACTTGGTAATTAGTTGGATGTGGGATGGAATAAAGAGGGTGACAGGATTAAAGATGACCTAATGATGTTGTGCCTAATGCCTTGGGAGACTGGTGGTACAATAAAAAATGAATAAACTATTTCACTGTTCTCAAAAACACCCCATGGAAAGAAATAGGAGACCATAAATATGTATTAGATATAAACTTACAGTTTTTGCTTCCTCCAGAGAGTCCGCTCTAATTCCTTTCTCTGACTTTTGTGGTGTCCTCTAGTACTCTAGAATCCTCTTGTCTGCCTGGCTTATTAAGAGAGGAGTTAATACAGTTCTGTTTAGCTCTTCAGATGTTAACTCCTTGTGGAGCAGAGCTGGAAGGCTATGCTTTTTCTCTATGCATATTGTAGTTGGAGAAAGAGCACCTAAAAGAATGCTTAATACACCAATTTCTCAACTAAAACTAAAGCTGAAAACATTTGTTTCATTTGAGATTAATAGAAATTTTTTGGTGTTAGTAGAATGATCTTTAAATCTCTCCCTGAAAGGTAACAACAGGGGAGATTTTCTGGATACCTGAGATCTCTTTGAAGAGAACAAACCATGCTCCACTGGCAGGAACAATGTGCCAGAACCCTTTCAAGGAAAAGCATGTATATCTTCCATTTAACTGTGACCATAGTTTCCAAACCAAATACTGGGATGTAATTATGCAACAACAGGAACTGATATTTGAAAATAAGAAGTTCGTTAAATCCTGCATGGCTAGTCACTGCATTCATATTATACATTAAGTGGAATATGGTCTCAATTATTACATGAAATTCTCTCTTTCATGCACTCATTGTGTGCATTGGGAAAGCTCCCATTCTGGTTACTGACAGGAAATGCAGGGATTCCTAGGAGGGTAAGAAAATATTTAATGGGCCCTGTGTGATTTCCCTATATCCTATCAAATCCGCTTATATAATAAAGAGGTAATATGCAAATTGACCATCACACACTCACACAAGATGGCCACCCCCATGTGGTCAAAGATGGCCACACCATGTGGTCACAAGATGGCCACCACAAGATGGCTGGCAGGGGAGGGCAGTTAGGGGCGACCAGGCCAGAAGTGGAGGGCATTTGGGGGGGACCAGGCCTGTAGGGGTGGGCAGTTGGGGGTGACCAGGCCTGCAGGGGAGGGCAGTTGGGGACAACTGGGCCTGCAGGGGAGCAGTTAGGCATCGAACAGGCTGGCAGGGGAGTGGTTAGGGGGTGATCAGGCTGGCAGGGGAGTGCAGTTAAAGGCAATCAGTCAGGCAGGCAGGCAGGAAGCTGTTGGGAGCCAGCAGTTCCGGATAAGAGAGGGATGTCTGACTGCCAGTTTAGGCCCGATCTGGGCTTAAACTGGTATTCAGACATCCCCTGAGGGGTCCCAGATTGGAGAGGGTGCAGGCTGGGTTGAGGGACACCCCCCCCCAGTGCACAAATTTCATGCACTGGGCCTTTAGTAATAAAATAAAATAAATTGGAGGAGACTATTAGAAAGTATAGAAATCATCCAGAACATAAATTTCCCAGTGAAAAGAGGAAAACTCAACATAATATTTTTCTAAGTCTAGTGTCAAGTTATAAAAATTGGCCTTTTTCACACCTAAGATTGTTTCTTGCCCAAGCTATTTCACAATTTCTTTTAGTTCAAAAGTTGTTAAAATGTGATTTCTTTCTGTCTAAAGTTTTGTATATTCTTATTGTTTTATTCTTCCCCAATATTCCCTGATTCCTTCTGCTTTTTTTTTCTCTATTGATTAAGGTATTACATTTGTGTCCTTAACCCCCCAATGCCCCTCCACCTCCCTGCTCATGCCCTCACCCCCCTAGTGTCTGTGTCCATTGGTTATGCTTATATG